CCCATGAAATCTCAAAAGCGTGGTCACTTAAACAAGACCTGCATGATGGCAATACCAGTTGACATTTCAATAATTGTACAAGTCCCTTCTTCTACATCAGAGGTTCACAACTTGTGGGACACAACCCCTCATGGATCAAGTGACCTTTTCATCAGGGTTGCTTAAGACCTCGAGAAAACACAAATTTTTATATTACAATTCATAACAGTGTCACCATTATAGTTATGGAGTAGACATGAAAACAATTTTATGGTCAGAGTCAACACAACATGAGAAACTGCATTAGAGGGTATTAGCATTAGGAGAGTTGAGAACTACTGACCTAGGTGAAGAACTATAGGCAATTAATGTCTATCTAGAAAAGTAGACTCAATTTTCTTCAGGGATGAGTGAGCCAACAAAGTTTTTAGTCCTAATCAGATATCCATAGGGAAACAATAAATAGGCTCATCAGACTGAATTTATATATACAAGTCATATATATATATGTACATTACATATACATATATACGTGTTTGTGTGGAGAAAGAATCATGAATTTAACAGGAAGTTCAGGGACACAGGATGTGTTAGAGTGGAAGTGGAGAGGTGAAAAAGATAAAAGATGCAAAATTTACATAGGAAATTCTGAAGAACAATTACTGTTTTTTAAGAACTCAAAGCTACAGCTATCACAGGTGAGAAAAGACTAGAAGACAGTGCAAACAAGAGCTTACTTGTACAGTTTGGTTCAGGAACCCATCTTCCATTGATGCATATTGAATGTTTATCCTCCTTCTTTTCTTCACATTTGTAACTCATGCTAAAATTATGATTAAATTCATTCTTATTGGTATAAATTGCTTTCACATCAATTGATATTGGTGCTTTACACTTTTCCAGTTGATCTGTTGCTATGTGAAAATAATTCCAGGAAAAATTAAAAACAATTACAAGAAGTGAGGTAGCTGTGATATTAAAATAACTACAGAGTCAATGTACATGGTACTATTATTTATATCTATAAATTGTGTCAATTAAAATGCTAGAGGCAAAAAAATGCTAAGGACACCATACAGAGTGGTCTATGGTGCATAGAATGCCAAGTTTGCTATATCTCAGAAACAGTGTTTCAATAAGAGATTTGGGTACTAAGCAACTACAATAGCATAGGAAATCATTGTCTCAGATGCTCTACATAGGAAATAATTATGACATGACAAGCTTTGGCCCCTACTTGAAAGCTGTGAAATGTTCACAGCTGTTTCTCCTTATCTTAATATTAGTCCATAATGTTATGAATATTAAAATAAAAACATGAGCGGATAGATTTTAATAGGTTGATTAGTTTGAATTACCTCTTTTGATAGATGTGTTATTAAAAAAGAATATCTAAGATATATTGAGTATAAAACAATTATTTGAGAGCCAGATTTGTATAAGATATTAGATGCTTGTAGTCACCATCTCTCTCCTTTTTATTCTCTTCATAAGAGTCTAGAAGTTATTTCCTAAACTAAATCATCCTATAATAAAACAATACTATCTCATAAGAATAAAACTTTTTGGCTCTGTTATGACTTAAGTAAAGGCTATATATACAGCTTTTAATATATTGTTCACTATAATTACCAACTGAAGATGAGAGTCCTTTTTATATTTGACAAAATTTCAGTATAGGTACTGGGAATATTTGTTAGTAATTTGAAATGAAAAGTGAAATGTTTATGGATAGAGTAAGTAAATGTAAGTTATTAGCCAAAGTTCTATAATTTTCTTTTAAAACAATACTGAAAATATATACCAGAGTACTTCAAAAACTCAAGACATCTGAGAACTAATACCTTACTTAAGAGGGGTTCACAGGGGTCCAGAGAGATGTCCCCAGCTAGGTCCTTGGGGGCTGAGGAGAGAGAGCCTGAAATGGCCCGGTCCTATAGCCATACTAATGAATATCTTGCATATCACCATAGAACCTTCACCTGGTGATGGATGGCGATAGAGACAGAGACCCACATTGGAGCACTGGACTGAGATCCCAAGGTCCAAATGAGGAGCAGAAGGAGGGAGAACATGAGCAAGGAAGTCAGAACCACGAGGGGTGCACCCACCCACTGAGATGGTGGAGCTGATCTAATGGGAGCTCACCAAGGCCAGCTAGACTAAGACTGAAAAAGCATGGGATAAAACTGGACTCTCTGAACATGGCGGACAATGAGGGCTGCTGAGAAGCCAAGGACAATGGCACTGGGATTTGATCCTACTGCATGGACTGGCTTTGTGGGAGCCTAGCCTGTTTGGATGCTCACCTTCCTAGACCTGCATGGAGGGGGGAGGACCTTGGACTTCCCTCAGGGTTCCCTAACCCTGACTGCTCTTTGGACTGGAGAGAAAGGGGGGTGGGGAGTGAGATAGGGAGGGGGATGGGAGTGGGGGTGGGGGGAGAGGGAGGGAAAAGGGAGAGGGGGAGGAGGTGGAATTTTTTAATAAAAAAAGAAAGAAAGAAAATAACCCAATAAATAAATAAAGATTGGTTCATAAGAAGACAAAAATTTGCTGTAAACAGAAATGAAGACAGACCAATCATTGGGGGAGGGGAGGGAATGGTGACTCTGTGATTGACTTGCTTCATGAAAATCTCTTATTTCTAACGAGAAAGCTACAAACATGGAGAAGACTAAGAATGTATAGTGGAAGAATAAAAAAGTTTATACTTTAAACTTACTGTTGTATCACAGGTTGCAATAACTGAGGGGTCATATGAAGGTCACCATAGGCAGACTAACTATCAGAACAAAATCTCAGAAATCTGAACAAATGATAAAATAGAATTTTGTAACAGAATGGAAAATTGTTTCTATTCTTGATATGTCTGATATGCTATATGAATGCATTTGTTAAAATTTTAAAACAGTTGTATGAATACGTTTTAAAGTACTAAAGATATAGGTATAAACATGTTTTTTTTTCTTAGCAAAAATATAATGATTCATTGTAAATCCACTGATTTACATAGCAAACTGTTTTTGAGTTGATTGGTCTTCTGTGTATAGAGAATATAATTGCTAAACAACACAGGTATAAATGTCCTTTACAAAGGAGCTCCACGTTTCTCTGGCATTAACCGAAACATAAAGTTCAAATGAAGAGTAAATATTGGGTATCAAGGATATTCTGAAATAATGATTTAGGAACACTCTAAGTAAAATCTCAGTTTCAGAGAAAAGTAAACGTAGGCATCAAGAAGCTTTTAGCTACTCATTAAATATGCAGTCACCAAAAGAATGTAGGGGGTAATTACAGAGTGACGTCACCAATGGAATAATGTTGTCTACCTAACCCCAAGCTTTTTGGTATAGATCAGTTCTATAGCCAATGAGAGGACCTATGGCCCCACCTTAATCACAGTGGCTTCAGCTTGCAGAATGAGAAATAGACAGAAGCATAATAAAAGTTCTGGGAGAGGAAAGTTTGTTATGGGAGATTATGAAATGGGTGTTCTACATTGGTTTCTTAGCTTTCCATGATATAAAAGGAGAGTGCCATATAATAACAGCAATACTATTTTGTAACATTATCATATCTTCTTGAGTATTATTAATCACATTTTACTTACATGAAATTTTTAACTAGCAACTAGATTTAACCTAAGATAAGATTATAGATTATATTAATTTCTGCTCATCGGTAGACACAAATAAGATTATAAATAATAAAAGTTTGGATGCATATTAAGACTAGATTGTTCTAAGAAGATTTCTAACTACAAATATATATGTAAATATTACCGTCACCAAAATATTACACTTTATGAAGTATCAATTTGAGGCACATAACCTTACCAACACACCGAGGAAGCTGGGTCCACTTTCCACTAATGCATGAAACTGAACCACGTCCAACCATTGTGAAATTTTCTGTGCAGTTGAACTCCACTGATTCTCCATGATAGTAGGGAGGGACAAAAAGCTGCACAGAGCCATGCTTAAGTTTAGAAATGTTTGTACATGTTCTCTCCTCCTCTGTAGATAGATGTTTCACAAATGTGTATTTATTATGAAGACATCACATGAAATACAAAACAGTGTCTAAGTATTAGTATTTTCATTACCGACACACGTTGGCAAAGTTGTCCAATTTCCATCCATGCACTGGATTTTATTGGGTCCCTTCAGTAGAAATCTAGGCTTGCAATTATATTCCACCACTTCACCATGGCTGTACTGTTCTTTTTTTGTTCCCGTCAATTCCCCATTGAGAAGTTCAGGAGGTTGATCACATGATCTCACTTGATCTATTGCAGAATATTGTATACATCTAAATAAAAATGTCCATCTTGCCATTTAAAAATCTAGTTAATGAAAAAATCTTCTAAGAATTTATTCACCATATCACTTTTTATAACATTTTATTAAATCAATTTTATAAATGCTAGGTTCACATTTCACTGTTTTAACATGTCTATTGAATAGCATTGAAGCATATTAAAATGGTACAATTTTTGGTAAACCTGATACCTTGAAAGTGCATGAAAACGAGTCAGCAATTGTAGTTTTTGACAATTATAGTGATTCTTCTCAGTCAATATATTTAACATACAGTTATCCATTTGTAAAAAATATTCACACTGTAGAAGGTATCTGACTAATGCATTTTATTTTTTGAATAAATGATATTGAATTAAACAAAATCTGTTGTGATACAGTTTAGACATTCTCTAATGAAGATATGCTTATTCTGTAAAAAGTCCAGTATTAATGGAAATACAGTCAAAATGAGAGATATCTTTGTACTCTAAGCTATCATGTCTACATGTTTAAACATATTGGTAACAAATTTTAAGTTAGCCTGGGACTAACCATGTAAATAACTGACTGTGTATTAGTCACACAACACACAACTTGATCATTGTTGTCTATGAATATGCTAAAGATTGTAGATACAATGTAAGACTGGTAGATATTAGGAGAAAAAAACTAAACCTCTGATTTTCATTTACCAAATGTAAAACAGATGCTAACCTTTACATGTTGGAAAACTAGGAGACCATCCAAAGTAGTAGCATTGCACTGAATCTGGTCCAACTCTGCGTCCTCGTCGGCAAAAAAATTTCAACATATCTCCAACTTTATATTTGTCTTTATTGGGATTGACAACCAAGTATTGGTCTAGGAAGGGAATACTGCATTCTCTTTCTTAAAAAGTAAAATAGAGTACATATTTAATCAAGAAATAATTTTATCTGTCTCATGTATATTCTCAGAGTATCATTAGTAACTCTCCTCCTTGTGAAAAATGCTCATATTGCATTTTATAACTCCTCTGAATTCATATCAAATTTTGAGAAATGTATGTTGCTATAATATATTAAGAATTGAATAATTAACTTAACTTATTTTTATTGGATGTGAAATCAGCAGAGAGTTATTAATGTTAAATTAAGAACTGTTCTATTCCTATCATATAGAATCATTCTTTCAGAAAGTTTATGACATTTTCACAATTTACTTCAGTTTAATACCCTTGAGATAGTAGAACAAGTAAAATAATTTCTTTTTCAATATTTATTTTTATTGATTTTATTGAGCTCTACATTTTTCTCTGCTCCTCACCCTGCCTTTCCCCTCGCCTTCAACCTTTCCCCATGGTCCCCATGCTCCCAATTTACTCAGGAGATCTTGTCTTTTTCACTTCTCATGTAGATTAGATCCATGCATAGCTCTTTTAGGGTCTTCATTGTTTTCTAGGTTCTCTGGGATTGTGATTTGTAAGCTGGTTTTCTTTGCTTTATGTTTTAAAACCACTTATGAATGAGTACATATGATAATTGTCTTTCTGGGTCTGGGTTACTGAAAACAGTCTGCTATTGGCATAAAAACAGACAGGAGGACCAATGGAAATAAATATCCAGATACTAATCCACACATCTATGAACACCTAATTTTTGACAAAGAAACAAAAAATATAAAATGAAAAAAAGAAATCATATTTAACAAATGGTACTGGCATAACTGGATATTAACATGTAGAAGAATGAAAATAAATACATATCTGTCAGCACGCATAAAACTCAAGTACAAATGGATCAAAGACCTCAACATAAGGCTGGACACACTGAACCTCATAGAAGAGAAAGTGGGATTCTCATCACAAAACATCCAAGAAATCTGGGACACAATAAAAAGACCAAACTTAAGAATAATAGGGGTAGAAGAAGCAGAATTACAGCCCAGAAAATATATTCAACAAAATTATGGAAGAAAATTTTTCCAACCTAAAGATGGATATGCATATAAAGGTACAAGAAGCATACACAACACTGAAGACTGGACCAAAAAAAAAACCATCCCCTTGCCATATAATAATCAAAAACACAAAACATACAGAAATAAAGAAAGAATATTAAGCGCTGCAAAGGAAAAGGTCAAGTAACATATAAAGCTAAACCTATTAGAATTACACTTGACTTCTCAATGGAAGCCAAGGAAGACAGAAGGTCTTGGATAGATGTGCTGCAGAAACTAAGAAACCATGGATAAAAACCCAGATTACTATACCCAGCCAAGCTTTCTTTCACCATCAATAAAGAAAACAAGATATTCCAGGATAAAAACAAATTTAAAGAATATGTAGCCACAAACCCAGCCTTACAGAAAGTAACAGAAGGACAATCACAATTCAAAAGAGCCAAAAACACCCACAAATAACTCAGACATCTAATAGCCCTCCACCAGCACAACTCAAAGAAGGGAAACACATAAACTCTACCATCAAAAAAATAACTGGAATTAACAACCACTGGTCATTAATATCACTTAATAACAATGGACTCATTTCACCTATAAAAAGGCACAGGCTAAGAGATTGGATACAAAAACATGATCCAACATTCTGCTGTTTACAAGAAATACACCTCAACAACAAAGACAGATATTACCTCAGAGTAAAGGGTTGGGAAAAGGTTTTTCAATCAAATGGACCTAAGAAACAAGCAGGTGTGGCTATACTAATATCTAACAAAATTGAATTCAAACTAAAATCAATAGAAGAGATGGAGATGGACACTTTATACTCATAACAGAAACAATTCATCAGGATAAATCTCAATCCTGAATATCTATGCCCCCAATATAAAAGCACCCACATATGTAAAAGATACATTACAGAGAAAACCTATCTCGAAATACCAAAAAAGAAAAAAGATAAAGAAAAGAAAAGAAACATTACTAGAACTCAAAACATACATCAAACCACACATACTAATAGTAAGAGACTTCAACACCCCTCTCTCACCAATGGACAGGTCAAACAAACAGAAACTTAACAGAGAAATAAGAGAACTAACAGATGTAATGAATCAAATGGACTTAACAGACATCTATAGCACATTCCACCCAAATAGGAAAGAATATACTGTCTTCTCAGCATCTTATGGAACCTTCTCGAAAACTGATCACATGCTCAGTAACAAAGCAAACTTCCACAGATACAAAAAAATTTTAGTAGCCACCTGTGTCTTATCGGATCACCATGGAATAAAGTTAGAATTTAACAACAGTTCTGCCCCCAGAAAGTCTACAAACTCATGGAAATTGAACAGTCAATTTCCAAACCACCCCTGGGTCAGGGAAAAAATAAAGAAAGAAATTAAAGTCTTCCTTGAATTCAACGAAAATAAACACAACCATACCCGAACCTGCAGGACATGATGAAAGCAGTGCTAAGTGGAAAGTTCATAGCACTAAGTACCCACATTTAAAAAAATGGAGAAAGCCCACATTAGAGACTTAAGAGCACAGTTGGAAGCTCTAGAAAAAGAAGAAACAGACTCACCCAGGAGGAGTAGAAGACTGGAAATAGTCAAACTGAGGGCTGAAATCAACAAAATAGAAACATAGAAAACAATCCAAAGAATCAATGAAACAAAAAGCTGGTTCTTGGAGAAAATCAACAAGATTGAAAAACCACTATCCAAACTAATTAAAAAGCAGAGAGAGAACACACAAATTAACAAGATCAGAAATGAAAAGGGGTACATAACAACAGACACTGAGGAAATTCAGAGAATCATTTGGTCTTACTACAAAAACCTATATGCCACCAAGTTGGAAAATGTAAAAGAAATGGACTTGTTTATGGATAAATACCATATACCATAATTGAATCAAGACCAGGTAAACAATCTAAATAGACCTATAAGTCATGAGGAAATAGAAGCTGTCATAAAAAAACCTACAAACCCAAAAAAGGCCAGGACCAGATGGTTTTAATGCAAAATTTTGCCAGAACTTCCAAGAGGAGCTGATACCTATACTTCTTAATGTGTTTTGCATAATAGGAACAGAAAAATCAATGCCAAACTCTTTTTATGAAGCTATGGTTACCCTGATACCAAAACCACACAAAGACTCAACCAAGAAAGAGAATTACAGACCAGTCTCGCTCATGAACATCGATGCAAAAATCCTCAATAAGATACGGGCAAACCGAATCCAAGAACACATTAGAAAAATTATCCATTATGATCAAGTAGGCTTCATCCCAGAGATACAGGGCTGATTCAACATACAAAAATCTATCAAGGTAATTCATCATATAAATAAGAAGGTGAACACAGAGAAAAGCATTTAGTTATCTCCCTGGATATTGGAAGTAGACAAGATTGCCAGGCAAAAATTGGGAGATTGGGGGTGGAGGTGGGGTGGGGTAAGGGGAGATGGGGAGAGAGAAGTGAGAAGGGGAGGATGAGAATAGCTTGGGGGAATGGGACAATGGAGGAAGGGTGGATATGGGAGCAGGGAAGTAGATATCTTAATTAAGGGAGCCATTTTAGGGTTGGCAAGAGACTTGACCCTAGAGGGGTTTCCAGGTGTTCAAGGAGATGTTCCCAGCTTGTTCCTTATGCAGCTGAGGAGAGGGCACCTGAACTGGCCCTTTCCTATAGCCACACTGATGAATATCTTGCATATCACCATAGAACCTTCATCTGGCGATAGATGGAGATAGAGACAGAGACCCACACTGGAGTACCGGACTGATCTCCCAATGTCCAATTGAGGAGCAGAAGGAGGGAGACCATGAGCAAGGAAGTCAGGAAAGTGAGGGTTGTGCCCACCCACTGAGATGGAGGGGCTTCTTTCATGGGAGCTCACCAAGGCCAGCTGGACTGGGACTGATAGAGCATGTGATCAAACCCGACTCTCTGAATGTGTCTGATGGTGCGGGCTGACTGAGAAGCCAAGGACAATGGCACTGGGTTTTGATTCTACTGCATGGACTGGCTTTGTGGGAGCCTAGTCTGTTTGGATGCTCACCTTCCTAGACCTGCATGGAGGGGGGAGGACCTTGGACTTCCCACAGGGCAGAGAACCCTGACTGCTCTTTGGACTGGAGAGGGAGGGGGAGGAGAAGTAGGGGGAGGAGGAGGGAGGGAGGGGGAAGGAAATGGGAGGAGGTGGAAATTTTTAATAAAAAAGAAAAAAAACTATATGATCATTTCATTAGATGCTGAAAAAGCATTTGACAAAATTCAAACCCCTTTATGATAAAGGTCTTGGAGAAGTTAGGGATACAAGGACCACATCTAAATATATTAAAAGCAATAGACAGCAAGCCAACAGCTAATATCAAATTAAATGGAGAGAAATTCAAAGCTATTCCACTATAATCAGGAACAAAACAAGGCTGTCCACTTTAACCATATCTCTTCAACATAGTGCTTGAAGTTCTAACAATAGCAATAAGACAACATAACGGGATTTGAATTGGAAAGGAAGAAGCTAAACTTGTTATTTGCAGATGATATGTGTACATCAGTGACCTCAAAAACTCTACCAAATAACTCCTACAGCTGATAAATACCTTCAGTAATATGGAAGGGTACAAGATCCACGTAAAAAATATCAGTAGCCCTCCTATACACAAAAGTTGCAGAAGCAGAGAGAGAAATCAGAGAAACTTCATTTTTCACAATAGCCACAAATAGCATAAAGTATCTTGGGGTAACACTAACCAAGGAAGTGAAAGATCTATTTGACAAAAACTTTAAGTCTTTGAAGAAAGAAATTGTAGAGGACACAAGAAAATGGAAGGATGTCCTATGTTCTTAGATGGGTAGAATCAACATAGTAAAAATGACAATTCTATCAAAGGCAATCTATAAATTCAATGCAATCCCCATCAAAATCCCATCAAAATTCTTCAAAGATCTGGAGAAGACAATATTCAACTTCATATGGAAAAACAAAAAACTCAGGATAGCCAAAACAATCTTATACAATAAAGGATTGTCTGGAGGCATTACCATCCCTGACTTCAAACTCTATTACAGAGTTACAGTAATGAAAATAGCTTGGTATTGGCATAAAAACAGAGACGTCGACCAATGGAATCAAATCAAAGACCCGGATATTAATCCACAAACCTATGAACACCTGATTTTTGACAAAGGAGATGAAACTATACAATGGAAGAAAGAAAGCATCTTCAACAAATGCTGCTGGCATAACTGGATGTCAACCTGTAGAAGAATGAAAATAGACCCATATCTATTACTATGCACAAAATTCAAGTCCAAATGAATTAAAAACCTCAATATAAATCTGATGACACTGAACCTGATAGAAGAGAAAGTGGGAAGTACTTTACAATGTATGGGCGCAGGAGACCACTTCCTACATATAACCCCAGCAGCACAGACAGTAAGGGCAACATTGAATAGATGGGACTTCCTGAAACTGAGAAGCTTCTGTAAAGCAAAGGACACTGTCATTAAGACAAAAAGGCAACCTACTGAATGGGAATAGATCTTCACCAACCCCGTGTCAGAAAGAGGTCTGATCTCCAAAATACATAAAGAATTCAAAAAACTAGACATTAAAATTCTAAATAACCCAATAAAAATGGGGTACAAACCTGAATAGATAATTCTCAATAGAAGTGCAAATGGCCAAAAGATACTTAAGGTCATGTTCAATTTCCTTAGCGATCAGGGAAATGCAAATCAAAACAACTTTGAGATACCATCTTACACCTGTCAGAATGGCTAAAATCAAAAACACCAATGGATAGCATATGCTGGAGAGAATGTGGAGTAAGGGGAACACTCATCCATTGCTGGTCAAATGCAAACTTTTACAACCACTTTGCAAATCAGTATTGCAGTTTCTCAGAAAATTGGCAATCAACCTACCTCAGGATTCAGCAATTCCACTCTTGGGAATATAGTCGAAAGATGCTCAATCATACTACAAAGACATTTGCTCAATTATGTTTATAGCAGCATTATTTGTAATAGCCAGAACGTGGAAACAACTTAGATGCTCCTCAATGGAAGAATAGATAAAGAAAGTGTGGAATATATGTACTCAGTGTTAAAAAACAGTGACATCTTGAATATTGCTTGCAAATGGATGGAAATAGAAAACACTGTACTCAGTGAGATAAGCCAGACCCAAAAAGAGGAATATGGTACGTACTCACTCATTAGTGGACTCTAGCCATAAAAAAGGACATTGAGACTATCGTTCACAAGCTTAGAGAAGCCAAATAACAAGGTTAACCCAAAGAAAAACATTTATAGATCCTTCTGGAAATTGGAAGCAAACAACATCACCAGGAAAAAGTTGGGAGCATAGAGGTGGGTTAGGGGTTGGGGTGGTGACGGGGAAAAGGGGAGGAGGAGGGAGAAGAGAGAAGGGAAAGACTGGGAAGAGCTGGGGGGAGTGGGAGGGTGGAGATGGAGGAAGGGTGGATATAGGAGCAGGGAAGAAGGTATTTACATTAAGGGGACCATTTTAGGGTTGGCAAGAGACTTCGCTCTGGAGGGTATCCCAGGTGTCCATGGGATGTCCCCAGCTAGGTCCTTGGGCAGCAGAGGAGAGGGTGCCTAAATTGTCCTTGCCCCACTATCACACTGATGATTATGTCGAATATCACCATAGAATCTTCATCTGGCAATGGATGGAGATAGAGACAGAGACCCTCATCAGAGCACTGGACTGAGCTCTCAAGGTCCAGTTGAAGAGCAGAAGGAGGGAGAAAATGACCAAGGAAGTAAAAACTGTGAGGGGTTGTTCTACGCACTGAGATAGTGTGCCTTATCTAATGGGAACTCACCAAATCCAGCTGGACTGGGACTGAATGAGCATGTGATCAGACCGGACTCTCTGAATGTGGCTGCCAATGGGGGCAGCCTGAGAAACCATTGATAATGGCACTGGGACCTGTTTCTACTGCATATACCGGCTTTTTTAGATCCTAGTCTATCTGGATGCACACCTTTCTAGGCCTGGAGGTAGGGGGGAGGGCCTTGGACTTCCCACAGGGCAGGGTACCCTAACCTTTCTTAAGGAGGGAGGAGGGGAAGTAGCGGAGTGGGAAGGGAATGGGAGGAGGGGAAGAAGTGTAAATTTTTGAATGGAAAAATTAAAAAAAAAGAAAAAGAAAATGACATTTGGCTTTCAAAATGAAAACTAAAAATGTCTTAATTCCAAAATAAAAAATAAAGGAAACAATTTTTTTTTCTTGTTTGAAGTCTCGCATTTTTGCTACTTTACAAAATTAAAGATTGGAACTTTAAAAGCAGGGTGATACATAAAAGAAAACTCCAACTTTCAAAAATCAAGTGTTAATACACACTCCTAGCAACAAAAGTGAAAGGTGTGCTTTAAAAGAAATATCTAAAGCAAATAACGAACATCATGTTGGCGCTGGTGATAGAACACACAAGAATGGTACATATTAGAATTCTCCAAATAATTCCTTTCTTTTAATATTGAGGTTTTTTTTTAGATCATCTGGGGAGAATCTACCTTTATAAGACTCACAGTTATTAAAAGTCTGGGGTCACTCAGATATTCACAATAACCATGAATAAATTTTAATAAAAGGAGCATTTCTCTTTATTTACAGGTTACCAGGGATTTAGCACCAGGCCTGCACAATATCTATGGGAATTTATTGTGTGACAGTTCATCCAACATTAAAATATCCTATCCTGCAGAGAAACTCCTTTAGGAGGAAGGTAAAGAACTCTAAACAGCTTTAATAAGTCCATGAAACTGAGCAGATTCAGTAGGCCCTTTATGCCCAAGAAAACATGCTAAGTTGATGAGTCATTGTCTGACAGGACAAATTGCAAAGGAGACACTCAGACAATGTAGATGTAAAATAGAAGACTTTGAGGCCATATCAACTCACTGGAAGAAACAAAAACCATCCCAACTCCCTAGAAGGGGTTTAGATCAACTGAATCACTTGGAAAACAAAACAATCTAATTCTCCAACCTGTTGAGCTGCTGCAGGCTGTGCAGTGTACTCCAGATTCCATGCTTCTGTGAGCTGTTACCTATGCTGGATAGGCCTTGGTGATGCAGCTGTTTTATTTTTATTTTCATTTCTACTCCTGCCAGTAACTCTTCGCCCATATTTCAATAACCCCAATAAAACTCACTGATTATAATAAGTTGGGCTTTGGTAATATCTGTATGTTGATCCCTCCTGAACTCCTTATTTGGGATGGGTGAGTGGATGCCTATATATCACCTCCACAGGAAAACTTTTGCCACATTCATAAATAATCTCACAGTATTTTTAATTTTAGTTTTGTAATACTACAGCCAACCCTAAGGTCTTGGGATAGCCAAATATTGTCACAATGAACTAATATCCCTTCTCTTGCATTCTGTTTAAATATTGTGTTATAGAAAGCCCTGATTTCATAACCTTGAACTGTTTATAATCAGAGAGAAATTAATGATTATTATTAACTTAATTTTACTTCTTCTAATTTGTGGGGGGCATTTGATCTGTTTGCTTGCTTATGATAGGTCTTCATATGTCTCCCAGACTCTTCACAAATTCAAGATGCTCATACTTCTACCTTCCAAGTTCTGGGATTACAAGTGTGTTTCACTTTTCCAGCTGTAGATATTCTTACTGCTTTACATTTGATTTGGTCCTTGATACTGCAAATTAAATTTTTAATTTCTGCTGCTATCATTTCTGAAGGGATTCTGGCCAGCCCAGGCATGGAAAACATGGCTCTGGGAGGCCTTGCCCTTCTCCCCATTTCTTCTGCCTTGGTTATAAATCATTAAATTACATTCCTAAACTAGCCATCAAGGTCTATTCTCTTATTTGGTCACTTCCTCCTTCTGAAGCTAACTACCAAGGTCCAGCTATCAAAAGCTGATCAAAAGCTGGTCCAGTGATCAAAAGCTCAAATAATAATCAAGCCCAAATTAAACACCTCATCCTGAAAGGTTTAAATGTTCTCACTTTTACAACTGAATTTACATTTCAGTACTCTGAGAGGGACAAACAGGTGTCTCTCTCAACAAAGGCCCATTTATCCACAAATTACATTCAGGGATTAGGGAAAGAGCACAAGGCTTGAGTCAATGTTTCTAAGGTAGTTTCTGTAGCCCTTGAAATTTACCCAGTTATGTCAATTTTGTCCATCTCTTTCCTTTCCACTCTTCAAATTTGCATGACCTTGTCCATACTTCAAGTCATAATTTAGATAATGGAAACTTCATTTAAATAACTAAGAGCATGCTTTTAATGATAACAAAACAATTATACTTAATCAGAGATACTTGATATACACATGCCATACAAAAGAATAATTAATTTAATATATTTTGCTTGTTGTTTGTTCATTATGGACACAGGGACTCAACATGAAGTCCAACATGTCCTCAAACTTAAACTCTTGTTCCACAGTTATAAGAATCACAAGAATGTGATATCTACAATGATGAATACATTATTTTAAAAACAGATTATCACATCACTGAGATGGCTCAGTTAGTGAGAGAGCTTGCCTCCATACTTGGTGACATGCATTCAATCCCTGGGACTCACATGAGGAAAAGAGGAAGCTGATTTACAAGTTCTCTGATATATTCATGTGTAACATGGTGTGCACATTGCCATAGGCATACACGTGCACTCGTTGAGCACATAAAGAAAAAAATAATTGAATGCTATGAGATAATAAATATAAATATGATCAATCCTGGGTCCTCAAGAAAGTCCTTTCTCTACCAGTTTATATTATATAAGAAGAAAGATTCTAGAAAATTCATTTTTTAAGTAACAAATAAATATTTACTTTTGCTTTATAAAAATTTAGAGGAAATATTACTCACCATAGCATGATGGTTTGTCAGACCATCCGTCATGATTACATGTTATGGAGCCTTTGGTAGCTTTATGTCTGTTTTCATATCCAAAATGACATTTATACTCTAATTTGTCATTGAGTTTAAACCATGTGTTATTATTTTTTGTTCCAGCATTCTCAAATACAGGCCTATCACAAGACTCTAGTGCAAAACAAAATGGAAGATTTTATTTTAAGTGACAATGGAATATCTGAGCAATTCTCATGAGAACAGAGGAAGTCACAGGTTGATATACAATAACAATACTGTATAAAAATGCCCTTAGAAGATCAACCATTTTCATGAAACAGTTATTAAATAAAAATGCACTCCTATTAGTGTTTATTATCTCAGTTAAGTTTTATGAAACTATTTTAAAAATAGTTTCTTGGCTCATTTTTTTTCTTATGTTTATTTTATACTGTAAATAAGTATGCAAGGGAAAATATATTTAGATTTAGGAAATTGCAATAGAATTTTGTGAATTAAGGTCCCGTATATAGTAGTTTATACATAACATAGAATTTAGAAAAGTAGATTAGTTAAATTTAGAACATGTGCATTTATTGTATTATATCAAAGCTTCTTTTTTTTACAATAAGAAAATCTAAAAAGTCTTGTTGATTATAATTTAATATACATGAATATTACATGGGGATAATTTTAATTGTTTTTTCTTTAAATAGATCTTACAATGGTACAACAAATGAAAATTAGAAATTAAGAAAGCATTAAGCATCTTATATTACCAATCATTTAAGTTATACTGAATAGGTCTTAAAAAGCAGCACTGGCTAGCTTTCTGATAAGTAAGAGAAGCTGAACATATAATTATTCTTAGAAAACTGTCTATGGTTAACTGTAGGTCCTAAAACAGCAAAATTTTCAGCTACCTGGAAACATTGCATTCCAGTATCATGATATTTGGGAAGAATTTCCAAGAGAGAGAGATCTTCTAAAATGGACTTTAGCAGATAGTGTTAAATATATATTATAAGATTAGCACATATTTTGAGATTTAAATATGGATATATATATATATATATATATATATATATATATCTTCACCTAAAACTTTACCTTTATATCTAGGAGCAAAGGCTTTGATATGCAAGGTAGAACATCTTTTAAAGGCAGCTGGTCAAAAATCCTTCACTAGATTTAAAACTTTAGGGTATTTTAAGGCACTGAAATGGGAAATGATCAGATACTCTACAATGCAAGAATAAGTCCCAAAGGAAAAAAAAATGTGATATTTTTTCTTGAAGTTAAAACTCAACATGAAATAACATCAGCCACCTCAAAGGAGAATAAAGCTAAACTCTTCTACATCACCAGTATAATGGTAGCAATACATTGAAGTACTCACTAAAGCATGAGGGTTGAGCAGACCATCCATTTTGGAGGCACGTAACTGTTCCTGATGTTTCTCCATTTGCTGTTACATACCCCTGTTTGCACCTAAACTTTGTTTTTCTATTTAGGTCATATGTAAGATCAGATTCAGAAAGAAATCCATTCTGAATTTCTATTTGTGACTTTGAACATTTCTCTAAAAGGGAAAGAAATAAAAAAAATGTTCAGTGCGTTCTCAGTAACTTAAGGGTTTACAACACAAAAAATATTAAAAAAATACCCATTAGTCACTTGTATATGAAGACTTGGGAAAATCCAAATCATTCACATTACTGAAGCAGGAAAACATCATAGGTTTAAAGATACACAATGTCTTGTTTGAATTTTTCTAACATAAGCAAAATTTAAATCACTCATAATTCCACCTAAAATATGTTAATTTTTTGTCCAAGTGTATACACATTTCTACAGAAAGTCAGAACTCTGAACAGTATTATTTTTACCTGCAGTTTCTTTAAACTTGAGAATAATTGGCTCTTTTAGACACCTAGACTTTATTTGCCCAAGTAGAGTTTCTGGGATTGGGTGAAAATCTTGTAAAATCTATTTACACAATTGTTACAGACTCCAGTGACAAGGATTTGAAATGCTTTTGTAACCTCATGCCTAATATACAATGGATATGCAATATTCAAAGAAGATCATGAGAAACAAACAGAAAAAGCTTAATCTTCTCATGACAAAATAATTTCCCCTAAATCTTGAATAACTGAACAGGAAACTATAAACAAAATTTTTTAATTTCACCTTTCCTATCAGCAGAATAATATTTCCCAGGTAAATGTATGAGATAAAATATATTCCATAAAAAAGTAATTAAAAAAGAAAGTATAAAAGTATATTTCCAGTTACTAAATTTCTTCTGAGAATACATATTTGCTTGTTTTTGAATAAGTAGGAAATCAAAGAAGAAAATACTAAATATGTTATATAAATGCTAATTAAAACATTAGATAATATATTGGGAGATATCAATAAATAGTGGAGAGACAAAAACTTCATCAAACAACTGGAAAATAATAAGGAATAAAATTCAATAATGATTAAATCAATAAGAGTTTTCACTTTGTTAAATTTGAAAAGGAAGTAAATACTAAAATAGGCAGAAATTGTAAAACCCCAAAAAGGTAAACAGAGATCATACAGAAATCAAATGAGAGAAAGGTAATGAAGTCATGATTTTTGTAAAAAAAAAAAAAGTGATAAAATTGCAAATAAAAAAAATGCCAGACACAAAGAGAGCACCAATAAATATAGTTGAAAATTACTAATGCTAGTAGGAGACAAGGAGCACAGGACTAACTAAAATTCGAGAATAGCAAGAGATTAATGAGGGCTATTATCATCATTAAAAGGCTTTATTTATTTATTTGGTTTTTTGAGACAGGGTTTCTCTGTAGTTTTGGAGCCTGTCCTAGAAGTAGCTCTTGTAGACCAGGTCGGCCTCAAACTCACAGAGATCCGCCTGCTTCTGCCTACTGAGTGCTGGGATTAAAGATGTGCACCATCACCACCCGGCTCAAGGGGCTTTATGTATGGAGGAAGTTTTCAGAAAATATTACAACAAGAAAGATCCTGATTTAAAAAATGGGTATTTTACTGAATTTAAGAAACAAAAATTACTATTCCTAAAAAGATTGGAACCAATGGACGTGTGACATAAAAAGGCAGAGAAGAGAGGAAACACTGAGCAGAATTCAGCCAATCTCCATCACCATCCTCTAGCTTCTTTGGCCAGATGTCAGCATACTACAGGACAGTTCAAGAGTCTGTTATGCACAAGAACAGAAGAAAAATAACCAGAAAATTTTGAGTTCAAAGGTTTCCAGAAAACCAGCAGTGTGAGATATTCAAGTCAGAAAAGTGGAACAATTCCTTTTGATCAACCAAATCCTTCAGTAAGATTTGTGAGGAGGTTTATCGACATTCTGAACACCCTAGTTTGGAAGGAAAAGCTCCCAAACCAGTCCAAATAAGTTTCAAGGTAACAAAATGATCAATCAAACTCAACTTCCATTCATGCAGTGATGTAGGTGGGTCTTCTGTCTATGTGTTAATTTCATTGGTTAATAAAGAAACTGTCTTGGTTTTTTGATAGGGCAGAACTTAGGCAGAGTAGACCGAACAGAATGCTGGGAGAAAGAAGCAGAGTCTGGCAGATGCCATGCTTCTCCTACCCAGGATAGATGGTGGTTAGACTCATGCCAGTAAGCCTCAGTCAAGTGGCAATACACATTAATAGAAATGGGTTAATCAAGATGTGAGAGTTAGCCAGTAAGAGGCTAGAGCTAATGGGCCAGGTAGTGTTTAAATGAATACAATTTGTGTGTTGTTATTTTGGGTGTAAAGCTAGCCATGCGGGAGCTGGGCAGGATGAAAAGCAGTCCTGCTCGCCTCATCACTACAGAGTGACACTCCAACGTGGTAACTAACTCCAGGTAAAACCTAAGTGGGCTTAAAAAGGAATTCTATACACAAATAGAGAGTTTAACACAGCTTTTTGCTATTTGCTGGCCGGGTGCCTCAGAGAAATTTCCCTGACTCAGCAGCTGTAGCAGGAAAAAGCTGCACAGTTTTAAAAACGCAGCTTCCTGGGCTGTGCCGCCAATGCGTTTTTATGGGATTGGATGTTTCTGTTCCTGTTCAGGATTGGAAAGTACTTTGAGACCATGCCAATGGCTCAGCACTCCCCACCTGCACCTGGGCAGATGGCGGGATCAGGCTTAGGCAGGCGGGAGAGCATGGAGGATTTCTGCTGCCATACAGAGAGATGTTTCCAGGTTGCACAGTGCTCTGCATGTCAGATTTGGATGTAACTTGGATGAAAAGAGTTTCTGTTCTGCAAGTTCAGTCTCAGAATTAAACTGCTGAGTGTGGTTCCTAGATGGTGACCCCAGAGCTAGCAGAAAATGGTACATCCACCATTTTGAAATTGGAGAGAGGTGGAGCCAATATCCAGAGCAGCCCGATGCTCTGCAGTTAAGAGGTGCAACTGATTCAGTCACAGGCGGCTCTGGGCAGGGCAAGCCCGCAGTACTTGTTTTTGACCTAGGAATGTCACATCTTAGATTCTTAAGCACTTAGTGATTTAAAATGCAAATCAAAAATGTTCCTGGACTGTAAAAAAAAAAAATTACAGATTCACAATAGGACAGATTCAGACATAAAAGACCTCTAAATGGGACACAGTGTTGGATGAGTGTATGTAGGCTTGGGAGAGAGAAGAAAAAGAATATAGAGAATAAAGTTAATGCCTTAAAAAAAGAGTAAAGTCTTTAAAGAGACAATAAAGTAAAGTGACAGAGTAAAAATAAGCCACATAAAAGTGGAAAATTTACAGAGGGTCTGGATTATGTATTTTATTGTATTTTCTTTAAAACTTTTGACTGTGAAGGAGCTAAGTACAAAAAAACACATTTCATTAAATGGGCTGCTAAGCTGAACCTGCATATATGTTCTAAAGGTATCTTGACTTCAGAATTTGGATCTAAGGATATCATGCTTTGGAAAACAGGTTCTTTTTTTTTTTTTTTTTTTTTCATAGAGGATGAGACCCTGTGGATTGCTTCTATCCTAGTATGGTATGATAGACCATGCCCTCCTGAAAGGTTGCTGTGAACACCCTCAAAAAATTTCTTTGCTCAATTGGCGACTGAGATGACCCTGGCACACAGGTTACACCATGAAAGATCTAATTAACAGTGCCCCCATTCAGAACAAAGCAGTTTGGAGAGAAATAACTATGTCCATATTCCCAAATATTGTCTATAAATATTGTTTATAAATGCAATAGTGGCAGAAAAAAGTCACACCATTTTAAAACACGGGATGAGGGAGGGATCATGCCAAGCCAAGCTGGTGGCAGGCAGCCGAGCAGTGGTGAAAGGTATGAAGAATGCCTGTCTAACTGAAATATATCTCTATATATCCAGAAAATCCAACTAACATGACTACAAGCTTGACTATTATTGATGATTATCCATTAACAACCTATATTTCTTAATTTTTAATTTTAAAATGAACTACACAATCACAATAACTTAATCAATATCAGAAATACATATGCATATAGTAAAATTGACCTTGAATTTACAACACTAAGGCAAAATCCATATCGATGCAAATTATTCATATCTATATCAATGCAGATATCAATCCCAAGCACTAGCAGCAAGTGTTTTTAACAAGGTACTGCATATTTATTCAAAAGATTGTGGTGGATTCAAAAGAAAATACATTGTGGCAAGATCTTTTCAACAACAAAAATTCCCAGAAAAGCATTTGGTAATGCTCACCCACTGCATCCAAGTATCAATATTACATAAGCAAATCCATGGGATGCAACAAAGAGCATGGAAGAAGCTGGCAGCACTCAACAGACACATTTTGCACATTGAAAAGGACAGTAGCCCCATATCAGTTACCTGAGACTCTTTTAAGACAATAGAAAAAGAAAAAAATTTAAATCAAAGTGGGTATAAAAAGATCCTTAATAACATTTAAACAAATTTAGCAGAGAATAGTAGAGACAGCACTAAATTCCAATATCAGCAATGATGGGAATTATATCATATTTTTTTTTTTACCTATTTTAAAAGACCAATTGGAATGTTATGGACATCCATGTCAATTAATTTGACAAGTTAAAAATTAATGGAGATTAAAGGTCATAGACTATACATCCCACTCAAGAAAAATATTTAATATAAATATAGTTACTTCAATATGAAAAACACATACTACCTAAACATTTACAGAATAACAAAAGACATTTCTGCTTCATATGACAGCACAGTCCTATAAGAACCTGAAGGTCTTACTAGATATACTGGCATATTGTAATCATCAATAGAAAAAATAAATTATACTATATCAATTGTCTCTAATTTTACTCTAGTAAACCTTTTTATATTCATAAGCAAGATAATATTAAAATTTACATTACATGGGACAATAACAGTGAAACAATTCTTTTAAATGTTCAATTATCTAGATACTTTAAACCTAATGTAAATATTTTAAAATATGTAAATTAATAGAAATATCACACTTCTCCAATGATAGATTACTACAATCTTTACTTTAGTTCAATGTTTTAAATTAAATTGTTCAGATAGAAAGGAATTGAAGGTTTAA